GTATTTATGACACTAAGCTGTTTACCAGCATCATCATTCACTGTTTGATCATCATTTCCCTAAATGGAAGAGGCTGAAAGAATCACTCCATTTTTCCCCTGGCATTTGCATTTCCCTGAAATAGAGATTTTTTATTGCATCTTCTGCACCTGCTGTGAAACTTAACTTCTGTTACCTTTGAACCAATTATAAACTTGATTGCAGCACAATCTACAAGAAAAAGAGATAGTTTCTGCTCCAAAAAGAGTTGACACTGAAAAAGGCTTATTGCCTATGAATGCAGGAATAACCAGTTTTGGCCCTTCTGTGGGCTGCAGTAAATGCAAGGACATGCAAAACTTCCAGCAATCCCAATCTGCTTTCTGGATGTTTTTTGTACTTAAAGAAACTGTGTAAACAATAATAGACTGTCTGGTCAGGAGAACTTTAAAAGAAGTGTTTCTCTTTGTAGAAGAATAAATACTATGATCTGTGAGAGAGATTTTTTAGAATTATAACTGCTGCCTCTGAAGTTGTGCAGAACTGCTTCCCCCAGCATCTGATGTGTCACCATTGCCATTAATATCTGTCAGGATGGTTACAGATTCTGATTTTGAAAAAAAAAAAAAGAAAATAGCAGCATAACAGAAGTGCTTTTGCTTTTGATATTGGAGTTTAACAGCTCCTGTGAACTGTATTTAGTGCTGTCAATGCAGACAAATATTCACTGCATTTTATTAGAGCAGGCCTCCTGCATCCTCTCTCCTTGTGGCAGCTGGGCCCATGGATAATTCTAGCTTGTATTTAATGCAAATACTTTGAACCTGGATGTGATCATTTTGGGATGGCTTAGATAAAAGCCTCCTGAAAGTTTTGGGTTTATTGGATTCCTTGAGCACCTCAGTTAAAGAGATGCACTGGGCAGTCCCTGAAGCACTGAAGCACTCCTGAAGCACTCCCTGATTTTGTCTGTGCTGCCAAGAAAAACAGCAAAGAAAACCTCTTCACACTGCACTCACTTTTCTTGATAAACAGACAGGTCCAGGCCTGTCAGCCACACAAGTTTCATGAAGCTGAGCTCAGGATCTCAGGCACCATTAACCTTTTCTTAGATGCTGTTGGGGCAAACGTAGCACAGGAACATTGCTGAGCTCTCAGCATGTGGGCAGAGCCTTGGAACATGAGATGGAACACGATGAAACTGGTAAAATATTCCAATAAGATCAATTAACAGAAGGTTTTTATATTTTGGTGGCAAAATCAGAAGTGGGTAGCTGTTGAGTCATAGATGGCATGATCAGAGAAAGAGAAGAAATCCAAAGAGTGAAGATTCTTGTGAAGATCAGCATACCCAGAACAGGACAAAGGTACAGAATAACACTTTTTTTGCAGTTCTGTCATGCCACCCACAGTCTCATATTGCTGGAAAATATCACAAAAACTGAGGATGGTACAGTCTGTTCACTAAAAAGCCACCAAGCACCATGCTGCAGGCCAGCAGGCTGATGAAATGGAATTCTAAGTGTGGCTTTGGGCTGTCAGGTGCACCATGGAAAGGATGGATTTTTCCCAAAGGCATTTTGCATAGTCATTTACACCCACAAATAGTGAATATATCACACAGCTATTCCAAGTTAACAGTGTTTTTCACTTATTCTGGAAAGGCATAAATGATGACTCATGCTGTAGGACAAATGAGAGGAATGAGCCCTCTATTAACAGCCAAATTTAAGGGATGTGTTCCCTCTTGCATTGAAATTAGTGGCTCTCTTTCTAATGACTCTGGAGCTCACACTGGTGAGGGCCCCATTCTTCCAACAGCTTTGTGAGACTTAATTTGTCAAGGCTCTGGCTGAGATCAGAGAAAAGCTGAAGCATTTTTTCTGAGATGCCAGAAGTGAGAGCTTTTTTGCATTCTGATCTTCTGACAGATTTTCTCTGATCCAGTATCTGCCATTATTTAAACAGCTCAGTTGGCATGTGTGGCATTCTGCAGGCTAGTAAGAAGTCAAGAAACATGCTCTGAGGACTTAATCATCCAAAAACTGGCATATAATTTAATGAGAAAGGACAAAATAAAGCAAGATAAATAGAAAATTGCTCCTGGGAATATTCCACTATATTTTTAATTGCAGAGAATGCAGATCATTCAAGCTCTTTCTATTTCAGATTTATTTCTTTTTTTGAATGATTAGACATGCAAGAGAGAAAGAGGTCAGGCTCAGCAACCCAAAGTTCCCCTAGGAAGGATGAAACAGAAGCTACAAAGAGAATAAAAATTCTGGAACCAAGCCCTCTTACTCTCCTGCCCTGCCTTCCCCTTTATGTTGCCAAAAAAGAACAAACCAGGAGATTTCAAGGGGAAGGTTTTTTTTATTTCCTGAAAATTGGGGTATCTTCAAGGTGATGCAAAGCACACTTGCCCTTGGCTCCCTTTCTGGGAGGTGCAGGATGGAGCCTGTGCCCAGGGGTGCAGCACCAGGGCTGACACAAAATTGGGGTCCTCTGATGCTGCAGGACCCCCTCAAACACCCCCAGGAGCCTCTGGGACCAGGGGAGCTGATTTGTGCTTCCCAAACCACAAATCCTTTCCCTCCCACTCAACACATTTTCCCTCCTTCTCCTGCAACACCACTCAGTGAACATTTAGCAAACACATTCCCACTATCAAATTTTAATAGGCTTTAATTTTTCCTCTGTCTTTGCATCTCCAAAGAAGGTGACACGAATTTCACTGGCAATTATATTCTGAGTAACCCAATTAGTCCTGAAATACAGAACATGAACATGGTGTGTTTCTAGATCTCATTTATTTTTCTTGTAGGGTTTTTTTTTTTTAAATTTTAAAAGCTTCTTTTTCCCTCTGGCAATTCTCTGCTGATTATTAGATATAAAAAGATTATATTGATGTATGTAAAAGCATGTTTATTTTATAAACTACAGTGGTAATTGTATTTCAAGGTCAATGACTGGCAAAGAAAAGGGCAAAAAGGCTCATATGTTAGAAGTATGAAAAAATAATGCTTAAACTACCAGTGAATTGCTCCTCACCTGCCCTGATTCCAAATGCAAGAGCAGGAAATAGAGCTCAATTAGAGGCCAATAATTTTGCAAATCTTGAAGTAAAAAAAAGACAAAAAAAGACAAAAAAAAAGGAAAAAATAAGCATGCAGAACAAATTTGCTGTAGCAAGATTTTTCCAAGATTCTTATGGAATTCAACAAAGGGACTTTTAAAGGTACCAAATATATATATATAGAATGTACCCCATGGAAGGAACATGCATGAAACTTGATGTCTTCAGGAATTCCTAGGGCTTTCACTGTAAATTTCACTGTAAATTACAGTTTTCACTGTAAATTGCTTAAAAAATATGATGGAAATTGGTATTGCCCTCTTCAGCATTAAATTATAAAGTTTATTATAAAGAAGACTTTTCTTCTCCTGGATTGTGCGTACTCTCCTGTTCGAAATATATTTCATTTGTCTATTTTGGTATGAACATTTTTCTTCGTTTTGGTATAAAATCTCCTTAGATTCTCTTTCCAAGGTGGGAATCAGGTGCAGCCCTTCAGCTTGGTAAAATGAGCATGATGTGAGTGAGCAGTGAGCTGTGACCACAGGCGCTGAGGGCACACAATTCACAGCAAAACTCTATTAAAGGAAGGAAGATTCACTTGTGGGGTGGAGAATGTGACAAATGACGCTCAATATTAGATTTTAATTAGAAAATGTAGTTTTTGTTACATATTATGGAATTCTGACTTTAGACTTAAAATAGAGCTAGTGAGCAGTGAAGGGAAAAATATTTTGGCTTCCTTTGCCAGGTCCTAAAGGTATTCCCTGCACATGGTGGGGGGATTGGAACAATTTGATATGTGAGTTCCCCCAGCTGTGTGCAGTGAAGGCAAAGAGCTCCTCAGAGGACATTTTGCACAGAGATAAAGCTGCTGGCTCCCCTCTCTGATCAGATCTGGGGTGAATGACTCTCAAACACAATTTTCTTGATGGAGCAGGAGGAGTAGGAGGAAAGCCTCCTGATGGAGGAAGGACTTTACTGTTCTGTATCTGTTTTCTCCAACCTGATTTTCAGGCTTGCAATGATAATGACTCCTATTTTTTGGATTTTTTTTTTTAATCACAGAATTTAAAACAATCTAGTTAAGGACACAGACAAACAGTCCCCAAGAGAGGACTGGGAACAGGAGATCCATGCCAGATTTTCTTTTATAATGAGCTTTCAAAGCTCATCTCTTGGTATAAAGTTTCCATATCAAAAAATAAGTTGCCACTTTTTCATTTCTTGTTATGGTAGAAAGAGAATGTTTAGAATATAGAAAAAACTTAATGTTGGATTTGTACCAGGGAATGAAGCCAGGGGATATGGCCAGGAAATATATGCTCTGAAAAATGGGCACATCCAGGATGGCCGTGGCTGAGGGGTAAAATACTGGGGATTTTAAGATTTTTGCAGCATGAACAGCTCCATTAAATACAATGAATCCCTGACAAGTGGTGTGGTTGTTTTTTTTTTAAGCAGCTCTGAAAACTTTCCAGGATCCTCTTCTAATTCTGTCTATTTTGCAAACAACCACAGGGCAAATTCAGGGCAGATCTGTTCTGGAGAGATGCATTCTCCAAACGGGGCTGCTAATATTAACAAATCCCCAGAGCCAAGTTTGCAAGTCTGAAGATGCCCTTGTGAAGCAATGAGATGCTAAATAAATCCAACTATTATCTCTATAATCTGTCCTGTGTCCAACACTGGGAGAAGCAGGTGCATCCTCTCAAAAAGCTTTCATGAACTGTTCTTTCTCTGCATTTTTCGACACGATTACTTTTCAGTGAATGGATATATTTGGGAATTTTATAAATAAATTACATGATAGAACAATCATAAATAAAGCTACCACACAGGCTTCAAGAAACTATTTAAAAAAGGAATTATTATTTTTTTTTTTACTTCCAAGCAATAGCAGCATGGTCTCTAAATGCATTTGCACACTTGTTTTTTCTCTTACCAGCTGTTGCCCTTTTGGACCCCAACCAGCATACTGAAGCTTTGCATTGCTGACCTCAGGGGGATACAAATTCTGGGGATCCCTGCAAAAAGAGAAAAAAAAGATTTCAGCTTCAGAAATGTCCTTTCTAAGCTGCTGCACAGGTGTGCTTTGGAAATACACCACAAACTTGTAAGATGCCTTTCAGCCAGGTTTCAGCAAACTTTTTAACAGTAAGGTAAACACTAGCAAGTGTTGGTAAGGTCAAGCATTTAAGTGACAATTTCTGTTTCTTATTAATAAGAAGCTGAACATATTAGTTCCACTGCTGAGTCGCCTAAGCCTTAAGAATTAGTTCAGGGATGGCAAACAATGAAATTGTATTTATCAACTCTGATCATGTCCACAAAGGATAAACAATAATTCTACATTTTAATCCAACTGCCACAAGAAGAAATAAAATTTTGTCTTCTGCACCCAAAGACTTTTTTGCCTCACAAATTTCCTTTGAATATGATGAAAAGATTGGGAACTTTATGACAACTGATACATAGACTGGCTTCAAATGGAAAAGCTCCTATCAACACAAAATATCTACTTTTTTTTTAGAAAATAAAATCAAAATGCTTTTCTTTTCTTTCATCTATTACCCTCATTTGGTAGCAGAACACAAGTGACACACCGCAAATGCAATATAGAAAAAGGAGGCTTTTTTGGTAAATGTCAAAGCAGCATAATGTCATTTTCTCCCAGCATAGATAGCACTGCCTTAACTGTATTTATACTCAGCACAAATAATTACATTACATATTCTGAAGTCACATTGCAACAACCCTGTGTATTGTAACATCCTACAAACAAGAACTCTAATAAAGCCTGTATAAAATGTGCCTCATTAGAAGATCTCAAACTGCTTGAAAAAGTGAGGCTATTATCATCACTGGTCTACAGACAGGAATAACAAGGCAATTTGAGGCCAACATCACCAAAAAAAACAGAGAAAACAGCCAAACCCTGCCTGGCTTTTAAGCAAAAGGCCTTGCACAGTGTTTTGCAGAGCATGTTTTCAAAGCAGAACAGAGCTGCATGCAGTAACTCAGCACAAAGTGAATTCTCTTTGTGAAAAATGCCAATGACTTGCTTTTCAAATTTTAATAGTTTTAAAGAATAAAATGGTTATGAAAATAGCAATTTAATTGGAGTAACAATAATTTGGACAATTTGAATTATGACAATATGAGACAATAGAAACAAAGAGTTACAGATGGTCCGGGTACCTTTCTCTAGGCAGCACAAGCCTGAAAAAGGACCCACATTAACAGAGGATTAGCCCTTAAAAACAATAACCTGTTGCATATTCATACATCTCATGATAAATAAATTCCATTCAAACACGGGATTCTGTCTGGTCAGTGTCAACTTCTTCCTCTGAATCCTAACACCATCTTCAGGACTGAGAGAGGCACGAAGAAGTTCATTTCTCCTGATAAGAGGGCAATAAATTCTCTTTCTCTGAAAGATTCAGGTGTCCTGTGGCTGCTATCTCAGTGCGAGTCCTCTCTTTAAAACAAAAATGTATCCTACATAGCATAGTTTCTATTTTAACATTTTGTTATAACCTAAAACTAGGTTATAACTTAAGAGAATTAATACACTATAACTTTCTAACACAGCACATATCATATTCATTTTAATATTTGCGAAAAGCCAATCATAAAATACGCATTTTTCACATCTTTATTGCCTTTTTGGGGCCTGCTGCAGCACCCCAGTTACAGACCCTGGGCTGCTCCTTCGTTTGCTCTGGGGCTGTAGGAGCAAGGACAGCACAGCAGCAAGAGGGATGCTCAGAACTGATTTTGTGTCCCACTCTCATTTCCTCTGAGCTGTTCAAAGGCCAGCCAGGATCAGGGCAGACCCAAGGTGGGGACCCTGATGGCCACAGGTTCCATCCCTCCTCAGGTGGAACCCTCACAGTAAAGCTGGAGGTTTGATGGAGATGGGATGAACAGAGGATGTGGAAGGGCAAGAGGGGATGGTTGAGGCACTGACACTTCAGAGTCTGAGTTTACCATAAGGGGCTCAGACAGCTTTTATTTCTACATGCAAAATGTCATCCACAGCTGCTGCCTGTAGAGTAAAATTGTGTCTTTTATTATGTTTTTTTTTACCTAGAAGGTGCCTTTGTGAGCAGCCTAAAGTCGTTTTTGTAAGGTATGGATAAGAGAACTCATAGTGCTCATACTGAGAGCAGCCACAAAATTCCCTTTACTGTAGAAAGATGAACCACAACACTTGTTCTGGATTGTGTGTGTTAGCTGCTTAAATTTCCAGTCAGATATGCCTGTTAGGAATCAATCTCTCTGGTTAGCTGTCTTGATTATCTTAACAGAGAGTAACCTCTGAGGGTAGAAGGAAAAGAGAAAAACAGTGAATCAAATCAAAACCTCTTTTGGGAGAAAAAAATAGCACTTCACTATTTGTCAAATGAACTATCTAGTTCTTGGGTTATTTTACCCATGGTGAAAAGAAGAGCAAGAAATTACAAACAGAGGGGGAAATACCATCCCTAAATAAACAGGTTATACAAATTTTAAGAATTTAAAGCTGTAATGCTTCAGATAACACAGGTGGAGCTAAGGGAGAGACGTGCTAATTACAGCAAATAATTCAGACCAGAGCATAGACAAGTCCTGTCAGTTCTACTCATTGCATCATCTTTTAGAAGAGGAAAACTCTAACACAGTGAAAAATGCTGCATAAGCCAGCTTTGGTAGCTGATAAGGCAGAAGGAAAAGCAAAGAGCTGTGCTGCAGACAAAAAACAAAAACAAAACAAAACAAAACAAAACAGAAACAAAACAAAACAAAACAAAAAAACAAAAAAAAAAAAAAAAAAAAAAAAAAAAAAAAAAAAAAAAAAAAAAAAAAAAAAAAAAAAAACAAAAGAAAAGAAACCCCAACAACAAAAAAACCCCCAACAAAGTCATCTTCTCATTCTTTGGTATAGATAAGGAAAACCAGAATTGCATCTCCTGAGTCCTTTCTTAAGTTCTTTCATTTGGTTGGGAAGCTTCTTTTGTAGCAAAATCTTGCGTACATCCATCCTCATGCTGTGAGTTATTCCCTTCTACCACAGGCTATGAAAGCAGACCAAGACCCCAGTTTTCCCCCACAAATGCTCCTGACTGATGCACATATTCATCTTGGTATATTTTGGTTTTTTTCCTCATCTTTTGAGGAGAATCTTCTTCTCTGAAGTAGACACACTCACTCACTTACCTGCAGAAAATTTCAGTGCCATGTGCAAGGGGTTGAGAGGAGAGAAACCTCAGGAGTCACCTGGAGCTGGGCTGCACCAACAGTGGCCAGGGAAACCTGTGCTGTCAGCAGGCCCAAAGGTTGCATGGAAATGGAGTTCCCTCACTTGAGAACCTCATTGTGAAAGATCAAATTCCCACACATGTATTTGGGCTCCATCTGGGGCATGGTCCGTGGTGGAATATGCATGGACTCCTGCTCTGGTAGCCCCAGACAACCCATTCCAAACCCATCATCAAGGACTCACAGATGCAAACCCATTATCAAAGACTCACTCAGAGGTAGCTTTGGGTTCGAAAAGACCTTAAAGATCATCTCATTCCAAGCCCCCTGCCATGGGCAGGGATGCTTCCCACTGTACTAGGTTTCTTCAAGCCCCATCCAGACTGGCCTTGAACACTTCCAGTTATTCTCTGGATAAATTTAACTATAATTTAACTTCTCTGGGCTATTTTATTAGCTAGAAAAGAGAAGGAGGAGGGAGAGTTGTCTGCACAGCTGCTCTGGGCAGGACTGGCACAACTCTGAGATTCTCTCTTTGAGAAAGCTCTTAGGGATCCTCAAAAAAACCCTTTTGGAGAGCATTTATCAACCACATTTCCAATTATCCCGTGCTACTCTAGGCATTTAACTCTCCTTTGTTAAATTCCTGTAGGAGAATCAGGCCAAATGCACACCTGTGAGCCAGGAGCACTCTTCCATTTTACAGATAAATGGGATCTCATGCCACTCAGCTTCTTCTGGGAAGTATGTTATGCCTGTTAAGCTATAGCTCTCCACAGCTACACCCTTCCTTCCCCTCCAAAACAGCCTGCTTAAAATTCCTCTGTACATTTTTCCCCGAATCAATCAATATTATGGGTCATCCCAGCCTCTCCAAAGAGCCAGTGCTCCTCACAGACCCTCATAATTAGGGCTTGTTTGGATTTGAGCCTGTCCCTTATGAGCTCATTTGTGCAGGATGCTGGCTGGGAAATGGGCAATTCTGAACGCAGTCTGTACATCTCTGGCTCCTGGTTTGGATGAAGAAATAGGTTCATTGCATCTTCACAATATTTTCACTATTTCCTCCCAAAAAAGAACCTTAATCTTAATTTCCGGCCAAAGAACTGGCAAGACCTTATTAAACTGTTGCCATTATTCCTTCCACTTTTAAAATGATTGATCTTATAGCTGAGAAAGAAGGGAATAATACATTTTAGACCAGACAGAAGATGAAGCAGGTGCTACATAAACTCTTCCACATTAAAATGACATTGTCTGGACCAGAGGCTGTTAAATTGCTCCAGACACGGGCATGACCTCAGCACCATGCTCAAAAACCATTTCTGAAGTAATAAATTGGGAAATTTGCTCGTTTAAGTGAAGTTTTTTTGCCAAAAAGTCTCCCCTCAAAATTTCCAAACAAGGAAAGTTCCTGAGTGCAGGCAGAGTGCCGACTGCCAAATCATCTTTGCTTGCAATTGAGCTCAGAACAAGATGTGGAATAAAACAAACTAATCAATCATGTGTTACCTGCATTTGACTTTAAAAATAACTGTGATTAATGAGGAACTTGTCCAAAAGATTTTGTCCTGGTTTTTGCTGAAATTTTTATATCTGTGTGTTCCCTCTTCTGACATCTTCTCCTAAAGAAGGCAAATTTCCCTCAGAGACTTTGTGGCACAGGTTCTCCTTCTTAGCATAAACATGATTAACTCTTCTATATAAAGTTCTTCAAAAGCACCTTAAAAATACCCAGAAATTTTCCACTGTAATTGAGGGAGTGGCTCCCTTTACTTCA